TACATCATTAGTCGCTTAAACATGAGGAAATAGCACATGGAAATAAATGTTCCCTATTTAGGTGCAAGCTATAAAGTGCCTCTGGGCTTCTGTTTCTGGAAATTCACTGTGAAGTGGGGGTCTCGAGCATGATGCCAAACTGTCAGCATCTTCAAGATTTCTACGCCTACAATAAATTACAGCCTTTCTGCTGGACATGAACAAATCTGTGTTTTTAATAATCAACTGAAAATTGGACATAAATATTTTACTGCTCTTTGGATTAAAATTCAGGACAGATATGAGAATTACTTAAGTTCAGAGGGCATGAGAAAGTAGACTTGTGCTGTATTTAAACAAGCTAATTGACTTCAACTTGTTTCAGAACTGGATATTTCAGCGTACTGTAACTGCAGAATAAGCAGTAATTCTCAGGTCTGAAAAGGATGTGTTTGCTAATTTAAAATCTGGAGCATACATTATTTTCTCATTTTAGAAAATGAGTCAAACTTGCTTATTTTCAGTGCTTCCAGTATGCTTAAGGAGAATGGACAGGTCATTTCAAAGAAGAGGTATTTGTCAATGGAATGTAGCAGCGTAACCTGGGGTTTTTTTGTACACATTTTGCAGGATGAGCCCACAACAGGGATGGATCCCAAAGCACGTCGTTTCTTGTGGAACTGCGCTCTGAGTGTAATCAAGGAGGGGAGATCGGTGGTGCTCACATCTCACAGGTAGGTAGCGGCCCACTTGTGTCGTACCCTGGCTTTTGCATCTGCCAGGGCTGGATGCCAAGCTCGGCCTGGCTGCTCTGCCCTCCACTGCTGTTTGCAGTGCTAATGAAGTTACTTCTGCCTGCAGCATGGAAGAATGTGAAGCCCTGTGCACTCGAATGGCGATAATGGTCAACGGGCGATTCAGGTGTCTGGGCAGTGTCCAGCATCTAAAGAACAGGTAGCTGTTTTCTTTTCACTCGCACCGCAGAGTTGTCTGTGCTTTTAGGGAGAATACAGTCAGGCTTAATTCCTCACGCAGCGTTCCAGTTGCTGTTCTGCCTGTGGGAAATGCTGCTGGATTTTAAGCTGCACTTGTATTTCTGAAGCACTTAAGTCTCGTGCTGGCGTTCTTGTTTGCAGGTTTGGAGATGGTTACACCATAGTGGTGAGAATTGCAGGGGCAAACCCAGACCTGAAGCCTGTTGAGGAGTTCTTTGGGCATGCCTTCCCCGGCAGTGTCCTGAAGGAAAAGCATCGGAATATGCTGCAGTACCAGCTTCCTTCTTCGCCATCCTCCCTGGCCAAAATATTCAGTATTCTCTCCCAGAACAAAAAGAGACTCCACATAGAAGACTACTCCGTTTCTCAGACAACACTTGACCAAGTAAGTTTTTAGTAGCCTGGATGCCAAAAGCTTTTTTGTGCAGATGTAGGAATAAATCCACTAATTTACTGGACCTTTCTTTTAACAAAGTAGAGTACTGAATCCCAGGACTGTTTCAGGATGCCCAGTGTTTAAATGCCCTGAATTAATGAAAATCCAGGGTGGTATGTGACATGCTCTTTTTTTCTTGCAGGTATTTGTAAATTTTGCTAAGGACCAAAGTGACGACGACCATACCAAGGACCTGTCATTGCACAAAAACCAGACTGTGGTAGACATTGCAATCCTTAATTCCTTCCTGCAAGATGAGAAGGTAAAAGAAAGTTGTGTGTGAGCCAATTTCATCAAAGAAATGATGAGCAGAATGCAAACTTCCTTTCCCTGGGATAGGATACTCCCAAAGAAGAAGCTAGAGGAAAAGAAACTGGACACTCTACTGATAACCATTCAATGCAATGCAATTCAATGCAATGAAAACAATTCCTTTACAGGGGCAGTGCCTCATGGAGTCGTCTTGTACTGTTCTCAAGTGAAAGACTTGAACTTAGCTCCTTACAGTATAACTCTGAAGCTGTGGTAAAGCACCCACTAGATGCTGTGGGCTTTAAACCATACTGTATCTTGTTCTGTACAGTATGTTTTTCTTAGGGTTGCTAAAATAATTCACTGAGGAATCAGGGCCAGTGGTTATTTACAGGTATTTTAGACATGCATGTTTTCGTTTTTAGAACATTCATGTCAGGAGTGGGAATTTGCTGGTGCTACATCCATTGCTGGCAATGAATGTACCAGAACAGTCAGTGGCAAGAAAAGTCACCACCAGTGTTGTAGCCTTGGGCTGAGAAAACTTAACCTGACCAGCTGCTTTTTCTAGACTGGTATAGATCAGTAGTGACAAATCTGAGGCCACAAAGCAGTACTGTGGAGGTGGGATGGCAAGAGACGGGCCATCATAACCATGTATCTTCATCAGCAAGTTGCGATATGCAGAACTGTGTACCCTCCAAATACCCACCAGCATCACAATCAGTAACACTCTCTGACTAGGTATTTGTGTAGTTAAGTACTCTACTGCTCCTTTGAGGTACTGCAGCAGCTGCATGAATATCCAGTGGGAGGAAGTGGGTGAGAAGCAGACCTAGAGTTTGGACCACAGCAGCGAACTCAGTAGTTGTACAAGCTGCTAATGATTGCCAAGAGCAAATTTTAAGTCGTGAGCTGTCACTCAGATTTGTAGTATCTGCTCTTTAACCCTTGCTTTGCACCAGAAAGGTACCCATCATCTGAAATTACTGCTTAGCACAAGCATGTTGCCATTTCTGGCTTTGCCAGATAAAAACTAGACATGAGATGTAGATTTTTTTTTTTAACAGTATTATTTATGACTTTAAATATGTAGGTAGCATAACTAGGGATTGAAAACGCTCTCAGTTGATCTTTGTAGCCACAGTATTTCTTCACATTATGCCTCAATGCTATGCTCTCTTTCTATCCATTTGGTGGATAGCTGCATTCATGATCTGACCAGGATCCAGATTCTAGCAATCAGCTGCTATCTGCAATTACTGCAAGTTGTTCACCTAAAATGTTCCTGTTTGGAAACTGGTATAACATTAACGTGTAAGTTTCTTTTTGTGTTGTGCAGTGTAGTTTCAGTCATTAGGTGATCCCTAACTGGAGAATACCCTCATTATACATGTGACAACTGCTTCATTAAAAATCCCCTTGGAGAACAAGATAGTAGCATTGCAGTTCATCAGTCAATTTTTCAAGTTTTACAAGGCCAGAATAATATTAGAGGGGAAATTACATAGTAAGAACAACCAATTCTTGTTCGCATTGTACAACAGTCATGGGAGAGTATACTCTCAGGGCCCCTCTGTCTTGCTTTTACATTCAGAAATGGGTTCGGTAACGTGGTTTGAACTTAAGTGCAGTTCCTGGGCTATTCCTTTGTCATGTCTCTGCCTTAAAAACCCACACAGTTTCTGCACTAGTTCTTGATGCTACTCCGTGAATCAATCATGGACCATTTTCTTCTGTGAATGTCCATAGCAGCCCAGCAAACAGTGAAGAGGCTGGCATGAGCCTGAAGAAGGTTGATGACCTATTTCCAAGTACCCTTGGTAACACTGACCAACTCAGCATTTTTAAAACGCAGTTAAACCCAGTTCCCAGTCCCTCCATGTCCTGTCTTGACATAAAGTTAGAGCTTACTCCAGGCTCTGCAGAAGTGCCTTTCTCATACCTTTTTTTTTTTTTTTTTTAATCTGTGTAATACATTGCTAAGGGGATTGTGAAAGGAGTGTAAAGGGGATCGGTAATACCTCACTTAAAACGTACTTTGTTATTACCTTTATGGCATCACTCTATGGGGATGAATACGGGGTGATGAAGACATCAGATTTCCAGCTGCAGAAACAGCTGAGCTACAGCCATTTCTCCATAACAGGCTGCAAGTATGTTGCAGTATCACTGAAACAAGTAGCATGTACTGGATGCTTATCACTGCTAAAAATCACAGTTGTAAATCAGCATCAAGTCACCGAAGTGAAGGGCTTAAGGTCTGCACTGCACCAAACTAGTGCATGCAGAACTAGAACGAGTTCTAGGAGGATTCAGATTTGGTCCTGAAAGGGCTGTGGTTTGCTCTTGGTAGCTGCTCATCTAAATTATTAATTTATCAGGAAACAACACTTATATCATCATCATCATCATCCTCTTTCCTTCGCCAAACAAAAAGATTCTTGATTCGTGTTGCCCTGTGATTGTCATGCTTAAAGGTTCTGCTATCTGTGATGAAACGTTATAGTAAATGTGGATATTAACCAAATTATTTCACAGCTCTGATCTGCCTCTTTTGTACTGAACAGACAGCATAATGCAACACTGGCATGAAGATTTGTCATGGAGTAAGTTCAGAGAGCCACTAATTTACTCGTTTGTGTTGGGGAAAAATCACTCTAGAGACACACGCAGTATACGAACCACTCTTGATAATGAAACTGCACTGAGGTGTTAACTTATTTTAAACTTCAGTACTATTGACATGTTGCATCCTTCTTTGTAGTACATTTGTATTTCAGTAAGGAGTTGTTGGATTTTCCCCTTGGTTAAACCACCACGTTGTGCTTATCTTTCCCTCCTGAATTATATAGTTGGCCCTTCGTTCCAAGCACTTTATGCTATCTGTAATGGGATCTATTTTTGCACTGGAATATCTGTTAACTTTGCAAAAATCTAGAGAGATTTCACAACTGAAATTTCTAAGTTAAATCCTTAAGTGGACATTTTCATTAAAAGCAAAAAAAAAAAGTATATATATTTGTATTTGCTAATATCTGTTATGTGAAGTATTAAAAGGCACTCTGCCTTGTATTAAGTAAAAAAATAAAGCTGTTTTAGCACCATTGGTCTTCACAAGTATCATTTTTGCATTTGTTCTTTTGTGGAGCACAGAAGCTTTTGTTTTGCTTGGTTTTGTTTTCTTGTGAACTTTGATGCATAACATTTGAGTATCTCTACAACTTAGCATGGAGTACGTACTATTCAGGGAAGCAAGGTGGTACAAGATTTGAAAGGTAAGTGCTACTTTAAGCTTCTAAAGTTAATAAATAAAGAGGTCTCTAGCAAGTCATGAAAACAGTGTTTTCAAACAGTGTTTGGTTTATTTGTCAAATACAGCTGCAGAGCATAACAAACTTCTCTGGATGTTTAAATCCCAACTCAAGCACCTGTCTCTGAATTTTCATTACAGAGACCTAAGTTGTACTTTGGACATAAGCATAATTGCCTGTGGCTGTTTTTTAGCACTTTCTATGAGATCTTAGTGCACTTAAAGCAAGCAATAATCATTAGGCAAACTGCACAAAAGATACCTAAGTAGACAAATTAAATCAATTGCTTGTTGCAGGTCTGTGATTAACGTATGGAATAGCCTCCCAAGTGCTTTGCAATTTATAGTTAGTACCTATAAATTGCAGAAGAGGGTGCTCCACACCACCTGACCAGCTCCACTGTAGCACCCAAGTCCAACTCCAGCTACACTGATGTTCTACTTTGCTCAGGATTAATACAGAATATCCCCATGAGATGTCTGATTAAAATAAAACATAACTGGCTAAGATATATGAGGGAGCATCCCTTCTTAAACCAGTATGGAATAACCACAATGTGATAATTATAAGAAGCACCAAAGTATGTTATCAAAATGATACCATCCCCAACAGCAGTGTTGTAAAAGAACACTTAGTAGGTTTGACAAGGGATCTAGCTATTAAAAAAAAGTGTTAAGAACTTAGGGGTTAACATGAAAGACTGGTGAAGTGTGGTTCGTGTCATATGTGATACGGCTCAAGTTCTTTTTCCTGGAGATGTAGGAACAACATCATAAACTTCTTTTTAACAACTGCTAGCAGGGTGCTGATTTACATTGCTAGTGATCAGCATTTTGCATCCATTTTTGGTCAATTGAAGAACAGCTCAGTTCACGAGGGTACGGGAATCCATGTCACCTGCTGACAGCACTTGCATCTTGTCTCTTCTGCCATCAGTTACATCCTTTAGAAGAAGGTTATTTCAGCGGTGAGCACGGCACAGGAATCAGAAGTGCATTTTGCTGGGACTCCAAGAACCTGACACTGTCGCGCACTGAAATTAAATGCGTATTTAATTAAGACATGACTTCCAATGAGAAATAATACTTTTCTCAGCATGCATGCAGGTAACACGAGTGAGTTCTCTGGATCAATCATCTCTTACCAGCTGCTACGACTCTGGCATCTTCATGGGCCCTGTGTCTTCCCGCTGCCCGGTGATCTGGGCTCTCGTTCCACCACAACACATGGACTGAGAACGTACAAATAAATGCAAGTTATGCTGCAATACAGCATGCACTGTAAGTCCTAGCAATCTGCCTTCAGCTGTTAAAAGCCTTGCAGTTAGCAGAAAGAATTCTCCAGGCAAGTCAGAGGTGGGGTGATCCTTTACTGAGCCTTTATGTGGTTTAATATCAAATCTGAGAGACTTTTAAGATTGTGGCTCGAGCTTAAGCCTGTTAACCCAACAAACAAAGCTGGGTTCAAGGACTGTTTACAGGACTTTAGTGATTCACACCAATGTTTTCAGCAAGCTGGCCAATCCTGATCCAGGACCAGGGCTTGCCCCTCATCCTCTGCCCCTTCCCCTGCCAAAGTCTGTATCAGAAACTGAGTAGTACCTCTGTTAAGTAATCCATATTCTGTATGGAAAACACCAATCAGCTTGGTATAGCCTGTGTTGATGTGAGCATTGATTGCAGCTCGAAATGCTTCACCCCACAGTGCTGGCCCCCCAGGCTTCATCTGGAAAGTAACCCATTCATATACCCCTAGAAGAGAAGGCAAACACCACCACGGGGAAGGAAATACAAATTAATATGTCAGTTCTGGAACTGTCATGGTCATGATGTATTTATTGTGAAATCAGTACTGCATTTCCCTGCCATTTGGTGTCAGCAGGAAACTGCCCATTCATGCCAGCACCCCTTGCAAATTTTCAGTGTTGCCTGGAAATTTTGGGAGATTCAGACTACTTTGCAGAAATCACAAGTGCTCATACATGTTTGAGGGATCTGGCTGGCTGCTTGAGCAACACCAGGTGATCTTTTCTAAAATTGGTGATATTTTCTAGTGCTGAAGTGGTTTATGACATTACAAAATCCTTTGACTCCCGGAATTTGGTCACAGCAAGGTCTGAAGGCATAACCAACACACTAGGACTAGGTTTAGCATCTCTGCTCTGCCAAACAATCTCCATTATTTGTAGAGAAACGGCATAATTTGCCATAAAACTCCAGTCCTGCTTAAAGTTACCTGTCTTCTTTCCATTCAGGTAGTTACTTCAGATCACAGTTCCTGACACTGTAATAGAAAGCCAGACACTTGCTATATGTCTGGTCTCATTCTCCAGCAATGGGCTGGAGATGGACTACAACAGGAACAAAGTGTCTGAAAAGTCGACTCTCCAGATTTAGGAGAAAACTGGACTACTTTCAAATTCAATTATAACAGCATAAAATTCAGAATCCTGGGGAAATAAAGAATCTAGATTACAGTATCTCCAGGAAATCCCCTCTCACTGATGGATAGACAAAGGAAGTCTGGGACGACTGCTCTGACCACTACTCTGGCACTGTCATTTTGCACGTCCGTTTAGCAATTCACAACCCTGATCATTAACATTAACCTTAATGAGCAAGGCTCTAGTCAGCTCTTGATGTAAGCTAGTGTAAAATCCTTCTTAAAAGCTCTGTCCCTTGCCTGTGTTATGTCACCTTTTTCACAAGGGTGCACGTACATGCATTTGTTACATAAGGGGTTATAAAACCATGCAATAGCTGGTTTAAACTTTAAACCATTTTTTGTTTCTGTCGGTAACTTTAACCACCAGGAGCAAAGATAAGCTCACCCCCTTCTTTTGGAGGCTTTCCAAGTTGACACCAAGGTACCAGATAAGCGACCTCATTGTGCTGCTTCTCCATCAGGGGGAGAGCCGCAGATATAAATTTCCCCTGCCAGTCTTTGTCTTGGGCTAGCGCTTGCCGGACTGCTGTTCTGTGAGCAAAATTATCTGTAAGAAAGCAAAAAAAAAAAAAAAAAAAACCACTAGAAAAAAATGCATTTAATGTCACATTACACTCAGTCAAAATGTATAATTACAAGAAGGCAAGCTGCCACTTATCTAATTTCGAAACTGGTATTTTTAAACAGAATATTAGCTTGAAGCAGATGTGGTAAGTTTCCTTTAAATTCTGCTTGACATCTCAGACCAAAATGGTTTCAAGCCAAATGAAATTTTCCAAGAAAGTCTGCAACACAGTTAAAATCCTTTAACCAATTTTACAGTTAAAGAACATTTACATATGGCATCCACAGGGGCTACTGGATGTGGCAACAGTTACCAAGGATAAGTAGATTTGGAGACAGCACAGTGGATAAGGAAGTGAAGTTGAAAAAAAAGTTCAGGGAAAATAATAGCCTACCAAGAAAATGATTAATAAAAGTATGTGTTTCAGTTTATATAAAGTGACATTAAAAGTGTAGAAGCAATGTTTGTGTCTTCAGCTACATAAAAAGCTGTTAAATCCCCAAAAGCTAAACCTTTTCTTCTTTTTTTCTTAATTAAAACCAAAACTACTTTTAGAGTGTCTGAATTTCAACTGGTTAGTCTGCCGTGGCATCTTAAGCAATATACTTATGCAGACAGCTTTCAATATTATGCAAGAAAAATCCAGCACCTGAAAAGGGGAAGAATCTTAATAAATATCAGTATCTTGAGACTAAGAAGTAAATATACCAATTATTTTTAACTCCTAAAAATGTACAAGCAGGGGTCTGACGAAACAAGGAGAAAGGATGTTGTAACTTACAGATGTAAAACACTGTTAGGAAACAAATAAAAAGTACAGGATTTTCCTTTGTTTTGCTTTTTAAAAATTTCTCACAGATTATTTTTTAAATTTAGAAATAATAACAATAGCCAAGGCTAAAGGGCTGAGAGATGCATGGCCCTCTCTGGAAGAAAGGGGAGACATGGTTGCCTGGGGCATCAAAAAGAACTGAGGTACTCAGTGACCTTTTTTTTGCCTTGGCTCCAGCCAAACCACCCAAATCACAGAAGGCAAAGGCAAGGACTGGGAGAACAAAGAACCACCCACTGTAGGAATAGATCAGGTTTGAGACCATTTACGGAACCTGAAAGTGCACAAGCCCATGGGACTCAATAAGATACATCTGTAGGTTCTGAGGGAACTGGCAGCAGATATCATATCCATCATATTTGAGAAGTTATGGCAGTCCATTCTTAAAAAGGGACATAAGGAAGACCTGCCAAACTACAGGCTGGTCAGTCTCACTCATCTCTGTGCCTGGCAAGGCCATGGAGCAGATCCTTCCTGAAACTACGCTAAGGGACATGGAAAACAAGGAGGTGAGTGGTGACAGCCAGCATGGTTTCACTAGGGGCAAATCATGCCTGACAAACTTGGTGTTTGGCCTTCTGTCAGAGGGTTACAGCATTAGTGGATGAGGGAATAGTGACTGACACCATCTACCTGGACTTGTGCAAAGCATTTTACACTGTCCCATACAGCACCCCACTCTCCAAACTGTAGAGGCACGGATTTGATGGACACACCACTCAGTGGATAAAGAATTGGCTGGACAATCGCACTCCAAGACCTGCAATCAACAGCTCAATGTCCAAGTGGTGCCCCTCAGGGCTCAGTACTGGGGCCAGTGCTGTTTACATCTTTGCCACGGACAGAGAATTGAGTGCACCCTCAGCAAATCTGCTGATTCTGTGTAGTGCAGTCAACATACTGGAGGGAGAGGATGCCAAACAGGGACCTGGACAGGCTTTAAAGCTGGGTCTGTGCAAACCTCATGAAGTTCAAAAAGGCAAAGTGCAAGGTCCCATAAGTGGGTTAAAGCAATCCCAATTACAGTATCAGGCCAGGATTGAGAGCAAACCCGAGGAGGACTTGGGGGTGCTAGTGGGTGAGAAGTTCAACGTGAATGTGCACTTGCAGCCCAGGAAACCAATCTCTCACATTCTGGGCTCCAGCAAAAGCAGCATGGCCAGCAGGTCGAGGGAAGTGATTCTGCCCCCAGCATAAGAGGGGTATGAATCTGTTGGAGAAATTCCTGAGGAGGAGGCCAGAAAAATGATCCAAGTGCTGAAACACCTATCCTATGAAGACAGGCTAAGAGAGTTGTTCAGCCTGCAGAAGAGGAGGCTCCAGAGACACCTTAGAGCAGCCTTCCAGTACCTGAAGGGAGCCTACAAGACAGCCAGAGGGGAACTTTTAACAAGGGTATGGAGTGACAGAACAAGAAAAAATGACTTTAAACTGAAAAAGGGTAGATTTAGAATCAAAGAATGGTTTGGGTTGGAAGGGACCTTAAAGATCATCTAGTTCCAACTCCCCTGTCATAGGCAGGGACCCCTTTCATTAGACCAGGTTGCTCAGAGCTCCATCCAACCTGGCCTTGAACACCAAGGGCAAAATTTAGATTAGATATAATGAAGAAATTCTTCACTCTGAGAGTGGCGAGACACCGAAACAGGCTGCCCAGAGAAGCTGTGGATGCCCCATCCCTGGAAGTGTTCAAGGCCAGGTGGGGTGGGGTCCTGAGCAATGCAGTTGAGAGAAAGGTGTCCCTGCTGATGGCAGGGAGGTTGGAACTATATGATCTTCAAGGTCCTCTCTAATCCAAACCATTCTGTGAGCCTGTGATTCATCCTTCCAAAACAAGAGGCAATTCTTTACTGTCACCAGGTACTGTGAACACGCTGGACTTCAATGAGCACACTGCCTCAACATGCAGATATACCCTAGACTGCAGCTGCTATCCAAGGAAATGATACCAGTGTGCCTTCCCACCTCTCCATTATCCAAGCACCAACTTCCTTTGGTCTCCGCAAAAAGCACAGACAGTACACTTAGTTTCCAATGTAACTGTAGCTTTTCTTGGCTTACCTGCACCTTCCATGTCAGCACCAACTCCAACAACATAAAAAAGTTGTTTACACTGCAAAAAGCCTACTGCTACCAAGGCTAAAGCTGCAAGAAAACACTTTGTGTGCTGGAGAAGTCAGAACTGGTGGGTTGACTTCCTACCTCAGCACAGGCCCACTGCAGAAGGCGTTTAAGCATGCAAACTGTGTGCTCACTGTTTTAATGAAGCTAAAATTTGAGAACAATTACACTGAGCGAAAATTTGTGAACAATTATACACATACACAAACACACACAGACGGCATATATGTGCATATTTCCTTTTTTACCATTCATTTTGAAATTCTGAGGGCATTTGTGGAGCTGTCCTTAAGTTAAAAATATTTACCACGAGCAACACACTCTACCATTCTTCCTCTATTATAACTGTTTTGAGCAAAGACTGCTGCTTAAGAACATTTCTAACCCTCTCATCCCAACACGTCAAAGTTGTCCTGACAGGCTCTGAAGTTGTTCTTTTCACTAATCAGTACAGGAGCGATTTCGGGGGGGGGCACCTTTTCACAGTAAGAGGAACAAATACAAGCCAGGTAAGCATCCCCCTCACCTTCTTGCCTACGAGACAGGGAACACACAGAGAGCAGAGCAGTGCAAAGGGTTGCTGGTCATACCGTACTTCCAAATGTGGAACACCTTATTCAGTGCTCCCAGCTCCGTGTACCAGAATCCCACCAGCTCGGAGTGAGCTGTGCGAAAGTGAAAGTACTTGTTGACCATTTCCAGAAACTCCTTCATCTTCGATGGCTTAATGTCATATGTGCGAAATTCGTAGAAAACACTGCTGTCTTGTCTGGGCCCTGTAGCAAGGAGTACCTGAAGGAAAACAGCCAGAAAAATAAGTAAACCTAATTCTCAAGCCAGAAAGTTGTCTTCTAATTTTTTTTAATTGGCGAGATGCTATAGAAGGATTTTTTACTGCAGGCCGGGAGAGGGGTAACTTCATGATGTCCAATTCCAAAAAGTTTCTTGTGACATTTTTCTTTGGAAATAGTTCCCATGTCCATTATATGCTGCCACTCCTTTCAGCATTGCAACAGACTGTGATGTGTCTTTTATTTGTTGCACTCAATTGTTTTGTTATTAGCTCATAACAAAGCAGCATTTTCCTTTTCTCAACCCCTTCCTCAGGAAATCAGCAGCAAAGAGTCAAAGCAATAAAAAGGTATTTGACTAAACACATTATTCAAAAGCACCAAAGACGCCACCAAAGCAGAAGCAACATCATTATCTGCCTTTGCTGCCCTTACCTAACCAGCTCACACCACTGCACTGTGTTTTCTAGTTACAATCTTATGTCAGTATTAGCAAATTACATATTGTTGGCAAAAGAAAGAAAAACATGCCAACACTTGGGAAAAGAGTGATCTCCTTCCAACACAAGATTTCTTAAGTCTGCATCCTAGCCTCTTACTGGCTGCTTCCCAGGGGCTGGTCAAGAACACTTGCTCTATTCATAAAAATAACATAAAATACTTCGGAGGTCCCAGACTAGGCGTACTTTTGCAACTGTCTCAATAACCTGGAATGTGCTACTCACCTCTGAGGTAAAACTTGAAAAAAGAAGGCCAAAACACATCTCAGGCCTTAGCCCACATTTGCACTGAGGTGGCTGCAGGATGGATTTTGGGTATGTCTTATTTCATGAGCATCTGCAGGCATTCACATCATACAGCTCCAGCCACAGAACAGAACCGTATAGGTTGGAAATGACCTCCAGGATCCCTGTATCTACCATTAACCCAAGTGTGCCATGTCCACCACTAAATCGTATCCCTAAGTTGCATGCCCACCTGCTTTTTGAACACTTCCAGGGATGATGGAAACACTTCCCTGGGTAGCCTCTTCCAGTGCTTTACAACCCTTATAGTAAAGAAATTTTTCCTAATGTCCAACCTAAACATCCCCTGGCACAACCACTTCCTCACATCCTGTCACTTGTTACCTGGGAGAAGAGCCCAACCCTCACCTGGCTATACTCCCCTTTCAGGTAGACGAATACAGATGGCCAAGACCAAAGGTTCTTGTTCCCCAGTGGCATGACACATGCAGCATGACACATTTACCACTGCCCTACCAAGTGAGAATCAGCTTCAGGAAAACTGGTTCCCGTGTGTCACAACTCCTGGGAGTCATTATAAAGCCCCGTGGGATCCCGACGGAGCGGTGAGGCTGCAGCAGCGACCCATCCCACGCCGGATTTCTGCACGAGAAGAGACGCCCCGATGCTTTCTGCCACTCAAGCAGATACTGGGACCCTGCAGGAGCACTTCTGTCCAGAGAAGCTGGTGAAGGTCCCCTGAGGAGCAGCTGAGGGAGCTGGGGGTGTTCAGCCAGGAGAAGGGGTAGCTCGGGGGAGATCTCACCACTCTCTACAACCCCCTGAGAGGGGGCTGTAGCCAGGCTGGCCTCTTCTCCCAGGCAACCAGCGACAGGACAAGACGACAAAAGCTGTGCCAGGGGAGGTTTAGGTTGGACATTAGGAAGAAGTTCTTCACAGAAAAGGTGATTAGACATTGGAATGGGTTGCCCAGGGGAGGTGGTGGAGCCAGAGTACCAGGAGGTGTTTAAGGAAAGATCGGACGCGGCACTCGGTGCCACGGTCTGCCTGACGTGAACGATCGTGTTCGATCATAGCCTGGGCTCATTACCTCATAAGTTTTTTTTCTTCCAACTTAAAACGACTCCGATCCTCCCGCCCTAACGACGCGCCGCAGTCGGCCCTAGTGGATGTCGCGACAACGACAGGGCGGGACCCGCCCCCCGGCAGACCACAACACACACACCCCCGAGGCAGACGACAACACACACACCCCCCGAGGCAGACGACAACACACACACCCCCGAGGCAGACCATAACACACACGCCCCCCGAGGCCCCACGCCCACCCTGTGCCCGCTCCCCCGGCGGCTCCCCCGCTACCTGCGGGCCGGCCCGGGCCCGGGCCAGGCGGGCGGCGGCGGCGAGGGGCCGGCGGAGCATGGCTGGGAACGCCATGGCGGACGCGGCGGATGCGGCGGGCCGGGCAGGGCAGGGCTCAAGGGACTCGCCGGTTCCCGGGGCGGAGGGGCCGGGCGGGGGCGGCCCCGGGGCGGGCCGATGGAGCCTCCCCGGGGCGGGGCGGCCGCGGGCAGCGCCTCAGCCGCCCAACCGCCCCTCACGAACCGGGAACGGCGAGGGCGCAGCTGAGGAGAGCCACTCGTACAAACCACCGGGCAGCGGGGCCCGAAATGCGGTATCTGTGCCTCTCCCCGTGCGCCTGAACGCAGTGAGAAGTGTCCTGACTGCTTGAGGAGAGCTGGGGCTCTTTGTTCCCCACGGGCTGCACTGGGACAAGTCACTCTCAGGAAATCCCGCGTGTGTCCCCCCCCACCACCACGCCCGCCGCCCAGGATCAAACTTCAGATTGATCAGACCGATCCTCCTTTGCAGGCTCGGACTCCGAACCGTGCAGACACAAACTCTCCGCCTCTGGAAGAAAGCCCCGAGGCGTTCCTCTGTGGCATCGCTGTGGGTAAATCCAGGGGTGCACAGCACCAAGCGCTGTCACCCCCTTACAGCCCTGTGCCCAAGTGCGTATTTCTTCCTGCCACACCAAGGGGTGGGATTTTGTGAGGGCTGAGACTGTGTATCTTTGCAGAGATAGTTATTGGCTGAGGCCAATGTAAAGGTAAAATTTCTTCGGGTGTCGGCGCAGTCTAGTGTTTGAACAGTGGGAGACAAATCAGCTCCTAGAAAAGGGTGATTTACGCAAGACTCCCTAAACTAACAAGGCATCTTTTATGATTCCTCATAGTAGGGGCAGCACATACCTTCCTCCACACCACATGATTTATTTTGAGGGTCTCTGCGTGGAATTTAAGTGTGAAGAGGAAAATTATGAATTCGTGCCTATGGCGCTTTTGTGCTTTTTCTCACAGTGGACAACTTTTCTGCTTGTTAGAAAAAAATTCAGGAAGAAAGATTGGTTTTCCATTAAAGCAATATAGAAAGAGCTGCAACAAACAAATTAATAGAATAGTGTGGAAAGAATGAAACATCTAAACTGCATATGTCATGTAATTTTGCAAATGGTTACATTTGTTATAGCGGCACGAATCATCCACATAGTTTTTTTACAGCAGAATCACAGAATCACATGTAGTGTGATTATGGATGCAGTTGCTGCTGATTTTAAATTGGTTTAACATGGAGTTTTTCTTCCCTTATGAGCAAATTGAGTTTCATCTGAAAGCAAGGAATGAGATGGCATTCTCCATTTAAGGTTCTCCATTGCTTATCTTATTGTATGGATGCAGTAGTGCTCTTCATAAAGATGCTGTATTGGAATAGTCCTTCACATTTGTAAACGATTACATTTTTATTGCTTGAACATTTTCTGTGTTTGCTTTCTCATCAGTAATGACCACACAAGCCAGGATTTTAATTGAGTAGTCATAAAAAGCAGGCTTTGTTCTTGCTAACCTGAATAGCCAAGAAGAAGCTTTGATTTTGTCTTTACTTTTGTGTAGTCAGAGAATAGAAAGGTGAACATGACTTTCATAATTGAGCAAAACAGTTCAAGCACAGAACTAAAGTGTCCAAAACTGCACTGGATTTCTGTGAAGGCCTGAAATGATTCCCTGAAACAATTCAGCAAATTATTTTATATAGCAAGTAAATTTGAGAAAACTGCAGTTCAGGAAGTGGCTAAGATAAAATTTGTCAAGCAGAACATTCTTTCAGCTCTGCAATTTTGCCTGGAACTTGGGTTCACTTTTACTTCCTGGTATTTTCCCATTCATGTTCTTCTAGAAGTCTAGGAGTATCTCTGTCTTCCCACGTGTACGTGGCAGAGAGTGGTGAAGTGAGAGGATTGTACCTCCAATTCTTGCCTGCCACTCTAAGGTCTGTCTACCAACACACAGAATGGTGAACAGGAGCTGTGCTTTATACACAACTCACAGATGGTATTGAACATCTGGGAATGGCAGTGTTGATCTTGTAGAAGAACTCATAGAGAGTAGTATCTGTTACAAATGCTTTTTGATGGGAAGCTTTTATGTTGGTACTGAAGTGATGAATCATATGAAATTTTCAATTTATGTAGCTGAGACTGGCAGAGCTGCCTAAGTACAAGTTATCTATTAAAAACTGTTCTTACTGTTGGAAGCCAAAGCTCCATGGAGGCAAAATGCAAGAAGGTGATTTGTGTGTATTAGTCCATTTATGCGTTGTACTCCCTGCATGAAACCTTTTCATCCATTCTCATTTTCCCATGGAACAGGAAACACCTTTAATTTCATCTGCATGTGTCTTGTTAATGTGGGCAAGGACTGGAGAGGGCTTTTTTAATAGCTTTCTACTCTAAGTGAGATGGTGATAATGAAAGAAAGGCAACCATCTGTACCAGAAGGTTTAATGCTTTCAAAAGCAGCTTAAACTTCCTTTGTCATATTTGCTTAAACACAGAGACAGTGACTCAGAGTTTTGGAAAAGGAGAAACAACAGTACCTGTTCCTTTGCTAGGGAGATTTTCCCATTTGTGTATCCCAGCTTTTAGTTTCATACCACACGAATGATAAAACAAGGAAATTTCCTTCTATTTCCCCATAAATCCTTTGGCTTAAATTCTTTTCCCAGAAAGGCAGTTTTCAAAAGCACAGGAGGGTGTAACCCACCACACATTTTCTTTCAATGGCAGTAGTGTTTCCATTACACAGTGCTGTGCTGTTTATAGGCTTGAGAAAGGTGTGCAACAAGCTTGTTCAGTGAAATCGTTAGACACAAGCTTTCCACTGTAAGGTTTTGACAAATCTCTCATACCGAGTTCTTCCCTTCCTCTGCCTGGTGAGCAAGCAACAAGTGGTTTCCTGCTTTGCACACAAGGCAACATTCCTGAATGTAATGCAGCCTCTTAGTATGTTCCCAGTAGGCCAGAACATGTAAATATCCTCTCGTTTCCATTCTCTCAGCTGTTCCATATGAAAATCTGGATTACAACTTAGCAAACTTGGTATTTTCTTCCCTGTTTTTCCTCGCCAGTTTGCATTCCCCATCTCCTTAAAACAATCTGCATCGTGCATAAATATTTATTGTGTAGAACTGATTAGGATGCCTACAAGAACCAGTGTCATCTCTGTGTTTACCAGTGGTAAGAATCACGTTAGTGTCCTTTGTACCTAGGGCCTGGGGACATGGTTGAACCACAGTCATGTTCAGGTGCCCTACCAAGCAGTGAATCAACTTCAGGAAAATTGGTTCCATGTTTTTGCTTTGCTGGGAAAGGCAGCAGGAGAGAAACATAGCACTTTATCTTAAAGGTAACACACACACACACTGAAATCATCAATCGTTTCTGTACAGTTAAAATGATTTTATTCAAAAATTCTGAATTAAAAAAACCAAACCAAAACAAAACACACTTTCCTGCCAACAGGCCAGAAATACTACAGTATTTAAAACCTGTATAAATTGCTTATGCTTATTACCTGGACGCTGTAATTCCAGTTGTTCCTCCCAAATATCTACTTGGGCTTTGTGAGTTATATTTTTAAAAGTTGAGAGTGAAATAGTCCTTTTAGTCTATCCATTTTTAGTTAATTGGGCAAAAAACAAATGCTCTGCCTGCATGTTTTCACAGATGGGGTGACATAAGGTAGCTTCTGACACTGTGGATATTTAAAGCACGATTCAGCTGAGAACCGGGAAGTCAGTGCTACAAAGAGCACGGGAAAGAGACAACACGAGATGAAGGTTTACACAAAGAAGACCTCAGTGGGTTGACTTTTTACTTCACAGGTACTAACTAAACTAGCTCAATTAACATTTTCGCTAATAAAAGTAACACTTGAAAGCATGGTGATAAACTGCCAAGATCCTCTTTCCTTAGTTAAAATTGTCTACAGGCATGTCTTATTTGCCTCTCTTTTAGGTATACGATAAGCTGTCTTCTGGAGGTGGAGAGTGAGATTTTCTCTAGGATTTAGCCAAAGCTGCACTTGTGTTCTTCTTATCCTGAATGTGGGCTCACTGCCCTGTGTGCAGGGCCAGTTTACACACCAAGGTATTTCTATTTCTTTGTTCCATTTTGCACAAAGTAGGGAGCTGAATGGTAACCCACAAAAGGCTGTCCCCCCCAGTCATCAAAACCTTACACTATTTATACTTTTTAACAAACAAATAAATCGCTGCTCGTTGACTACAAGTTACTTAAAGTTCTCTTACTAATTAGTATTATATCTTCTACTGGTTAAATGATTTTCTCGCTTCTCATGCTAATTAGTCTGCATGCTCAGTCGTCCTCTTCTTTTGAGTTGGTGGGTTTCTTGAGTCTGTGGGCCTTGAGTCACTGGTCACAATCTCCCTCTGCCAGAATTACCTTTTATTCAGTTGGAGCTGATTTCAGCACAGTTGCTGAGTTGGCTTTTTCCATTTCTTCCTTATCTTGAGAGCTCTGCCAAAAGTCGTCGTGGCCCGTAACTTCTGCGTTCTTTGTGTCCACTATCAGCAATACATTCTTCTCCCCAAGCTTTGTTAACTTCCCTCCAGGTCTGAGGACACTGAAACATATCAAGCCCTAAACCTTAAAAGGGCAATTCTACCAACAAATAATTTGTCTTTCTAACACTTGTACATCATTCTGAACCCGTGTTTCATTGCAGAGAACTGAGTGTAAAATAGGAGCTAGATATTGCTTTAAGGCAGGCTCTAATTTCTCGAGTATGAAAGCAGGTAAAGCTAGGGGGCAGAGATCATTATTTCAGGGCCACTCCACCATTCCTTGGGCAGGTATTTTCTATATTTTCTACTTGGTCTTCTACACGCAGACTTGGACATGTTTAACTTGGAGAAATCCTGGATGATTTCAGCTGAGGAACAACAGTGTGCCTCCTAACCTCCTAATCTGCCTGAGGCCTTATGTGATAGAGGAGACAAGCAAAAGTACCCATTGCATCAGATTTTTATGAAGGAAGATGCCTTATTCAACATAAGGCTGCTAACTGGGGCTTTCCCACCTTCTTGCCTTGCAGTGCCATGCTGGGCCCAGTCCGTAGGTGGAGAAAAGACATGTGCGGGCCATG